TTCATTGTGTTTAACATATAAATAAAGCTCAGTTTCCCATAGTAAGCCCTGGTCATATTCCCTTGAGAGATTGCCCTTGTATAGCCTTATCTTATAAAACAAACAAACTTTATATTATTACATTACAATAACAGAAATCTAAAAACTGATTAAGAATGCATTTTAAAAAATTGCAAGCTAATCTTTTGCTTGCATTAAAAGTATGCAAAGAATTAGTTTTCAATGTTTTTTTAAATGCTAATATAAAGTATAGAAATTAATAGACAAATTATAAATTTTTATGAAATCACTATTGTGTCTGTATTTTGTTTATTTCTCAATTTTTGGTAGTATATTTTTCTTCACTGCTGTATCAACTTTAAAAGATGTTTGAATATGTAATCCTAAACTGAGAAAAGAAATAACAGATTATTTTAATACATCTAATAGTCAACAATTGGGCAAAGTTTCTGATATTGCCATGAATTTGTAGAATTATTTCTTTTAATTATTTTTATCATTTAAAACTTTTTAGATCATTCTTCTTGAAAAACTTTTTTATATTTTAAAATTGATTTTCCCAATTTTTAATAATTAGAATTATTTTTTTGTAGGAATTTGTAGAAAATGTAAATATTTTTATAGAATTAAAGCTGTGTTAACAAATATTTTTATTTTAATAACTAATGTTTACAGTTTCATTTCAGTTGTAAACTATTGTTAGAGTCATCAACATAGAAAATAACAAGCTTTTTGAAAAAATTAAACTTGGAATATTAAGTTAAAGATTTAAAGAATTAAAATTAAAACATTATAAAATAGTCAGGGTAATGGAGTGATGGAATCATAATAATGAATTAATCTTGAATAATCTACTGAAGATAATTATTTTTTGCTATTCATAAAGATCCATTTTTTATGGTTTTCTTATCCTGTTTGTTGAAGATTTAGTATGTTGCATATTCCTTATTTCTTTTGTAATTTACTTCATCATCATAGCCTATTTTTATTGTTACAGCTTTCTAAATGTTTATAATAGAATTTAAATATATTTTCAGTCTTATATCAAATATTAAATATATTTTAATTTACGATAATCATGTTCTAGAAATATAATTAAATTTGTATCAGTATCCTGTATTTTATAACATTTTTAAAATTAGTTTTACATAATAAAAAGAACAATACACAAAAACACTTTACACAAATATAATTATTGTCTATATCATTGTATATTTGCCTATCAGTATGCATATACCTTAATTTTAAATATAATTATAATTATTGTTATAAAATGTATAGTGAGAAATGTGCTTCATAAGTTAGTTTGGAGATAATGAAAAATTGTATTATATAAACATCTCAGAACCTGATGTTATTAATCAAAGTCAAATGATTGCTGTAATGTATTGGTAATACCTTATAATTATATATTATATAGTATAGTAAAGTATTATAATTATTAATTTTGATAAGAGATGGCATTTAATTTCTACTTCTAATACCAAATTATTTTAAATCTAATTATTAATAGTAGCAAAAAATAGCCTGATACATTACAGCAATTGTTTGGCTTTGATTAAAATCATATCATTTTATGAATTTTAAAATTTTAACATTAAACTTTATCCTATAGTTCCATTATTTTTAAATTACATTAAAATTTAAAATTACATATTTTATTATTATATACAGTCAAATTTCTCTACAGTGATATTTAGTGGAACAAGAAAAAAAAATCCAGTAACATTTAAAATTTTGGTGGCTCCATCTGTTAAGATATTTTATTAAAAAATCTTTTTACATGTTTTTAATTATAAAATAGCAAAAAGGTTATTTTTGAGGGTAGAGATTGGTTTTATAAAAAATTGTAAATGCAAGTACAATTGTTATTAAGTCAGACCCTACTTGAGATATGACACACACAATCCCTTTTATCTCCCCAGCCCATTGACCTTTAGCTACCAAATTTAATAGCATCAATTCCCTAATATACAAATCTCCCTGTAAAATTTCAGAAATTTTTGACAGAAAGCACAGGAGTCATTAAGCTTCAAAGAGGGTGAACAAAACACAAACATCCATACATACAGAAAAAATCCAAATTTTTTGCATTTCTCGATGTTTCAAGGTTCCAAGTCCAAAAATGTAAAAATCTTGGGGGGTCATTTTTTGACTGATCAACACACTTTCCCTCTGTTATATATAACAGAGCTGGGAAAGTAATATTGTTGTAAAGATTTATTGTTACAATGAGAGATTTTAAAAAAGTATTCCTTCCTTGTTTAACATTATCAGACTGCAAATAGGGTCATTTGTACAAAGTTAGTTATTGCTAGAACAGAAAATTATATAGTATTATTAGTCTCTTTCAGTACAAGATTTAAGTGATTTTATTGGACATAATTTCTATAGTATATATTAAATATCAAAATCCAAAATCAATCATAACCTGAATCTTCCATGTCAAAAATGATCTAAGTAAAACTAGCTCTAAAATATAATTTTTTAAGGAGAATGCCATTAGACCATTGCATATCATGGGTTTGGTCCACAATGGGGCAGCCAGTTGGTGAGAGATTCAATCTGATATATAGATAGGTTTAACAATAATGTCAAGTTGTACATATTTTTGGATATAGTAGATGAAAACAAAGCTAATAAGTGAATGTTGACACAGAAATTTCTAATCATTTTGCCTTCTCTAATAAGTAGATAATTGTTGAAGATTGATACTGCTGTTTGTTTTGATGATATTCTTTGATTCATACACTGATATTTTGAAAAATGTTTTGTTAGTCTGCTTTTTATTTATGTTTTAATAAATAAATGATGACAAACTGGCCTTTCCTATATTTTCAGCAATTAAATAGCAGTGTTTCTGGCTTCTGAATATTTGCATTATTTTTTACAATGCTGTCACTGTTGGAAAAACACAAAAAGTCAGTTTGTTGTCACTTATTTAGTAGCTCCAGTTTTAAGAATAATTTTGATTTAATAAATTCTTTTTATTGAAACATTCCTAAAAATTTCACTATATTAATTTTCAATAAACTTCTTGAAATTATATATTTTTTTCCAATTCTGTATTTTTTTACTGTAATTCAGAATATGTAAAGTTAAATGAATAAAATGGAATTCCAAACTGAAAAGGAAAAACAAACTAATAGGTTTAAAGCATGAAGTATCAGATCATTTTCACAAATTGTGTGATTAAAGTTCTATCAATTTTTGTGTTATAATAAATATTATTCATTATTTGGTGTGATAAGTTTTGAACTTGATGGATTATCCAAAACTTCATGAAAACTTTTTTGCCTGCTTGTGAATTTTTATCTTGTTTTTATTGTCTTTTGACAGTAAAAACAGGATGAAAATCCACAAGCAGTCATAATAACTCTGGAAAATAAATTGTTGGTTCAAAAATGTATGCATTGAATAATTCTAGTTTATATTAAATATTTTCTTAATAATTCTTATGGAATTACTTTTTTAAAATAATTATTAATAAAATTATATACTGTATTAAATAACACAATAATATAATTTAATTAGGATGATTTTAGTTACATTATTAAAGTTTTTACAAATATTATGTGTGTTTGTAGTTTTATTGAAGATTTTTGAATAAAATATATTTTTGTAATTTCTGTTGAAATATCTCTTTCTCTCTCTCCTTTTCTTTTTTCTTTAAGATTTTAATATATTTTTTATATTCAATAATAATGTGGTTATATTTAAAGGACAATCAAATCACAGGTTGCTGGTGATATATCTTATTTTTATAATTTCTCCTCTGTCAACTGGCAACTGGGTGATTTGATTGTCCTTTAAACATAACCATGTTGTTATTGGATATAAAGAAATAAATTTTAGGACAAAAAGCTTCACCTTATATTTTAATTTTTTTGTATTATTTATTGAATATAAATAATAATAAAATAATTAAAGAGGAATAATTTAATTTACTCTGATAAATTATATATAATTTTCTGACAATGAAATTATAAACATAATTAATTATTTATCAAAAAAAGGAAATAATTATATAAATTGAGAAAATTTTGAAATTTCTCAAATATTTTAAAATAATAATTGTATTTAAATTACAAATAAAAGTAAATATTTAAAGTTGAGAGGAAGCTCTGATTTAAATTTATTTTAAAGTGTTATTTTGAAATCACTTCTATCTTCTTAATTTAACCTTTCATAGTTACTCCACATAAATGGTGATGATTAAACCTAGCAGTAGCTGAAAGTGTTTCTGACCTAATAAACTGGATTTACAGGTATTTATAATTGTTCACTTCAAGGATATCTTAAAGGAAATAATAAAGAATACTATGTTATACAAAAACTTACTCTTGGAATGTTATTCATGTAGTTTTTATTATTGACTCTTTGTTGTATCTTCATTTATCAAAAAGATATTTTAAGTATTCAAGCCATTAATGTCAAAGCGTGGTCATGGTTATTATATAATTATAAATTAATTGTAATTGAATGATATCATGCTTTCTTCAACTAATTTTTTAAATATTTTACAATATATTTAGTTTATTTTAAAAATTATATATTCCAACTTAGTAATTTTGGAATAATCTTGGAAGAACTTTGCTATAAATTTATTTATTTATTAGAATTCAGAATATCTTAATTTAAATTTTAATATTTAATTAAATTAAATGCTAATTTTATATAATTTTATTCAGTAATATACACCTATAATATATATTGTTTATATAAACTTTTTTAATAAATATTAATAATTATAATATTAATAACAGATTACATATTGTTATTTAAATTTTAAACTTGTTTCAATTATTTTTTTATAGAATCAAGCTTACAATTGTAGTTTGTGATTAACTCAAATTATAATTTGTATAGTAATTTACATCTAATTATAATTAAGATAATTATACTATATAGATAATAAGTTTATTTATTTATATTTGTATAGCTCTATATCTAGAATCAGGAAATATTTTGTTTTTTTATAATTCTTTAATATTAATCACATTATTGGGAACACCAACAGAGGAAACATGGACAGGAATGACACAACTTCCAGATTATAAGGTAAATAAAAAGCAAATTTATTCATATTTTGATTATTCATTTATCAGCTAGTTTTCAAAAATTTCAAATAATTTAAAATTGTAGATAAATACAATCTTAAATTATGAAGAATGCAGATAAATTTGGAATTGTCTTTATCTGCAGTCTTAAATTTTAAATAAGAAAGAATTTAGAAATTGATTTCTTGATTAATTTTTCATGATTATGATAACTGGGATTTAGTTTATCTTTAAGCATTTTTTGTTTCTTTATTAAGATGAATTGAATTTTTGAAAATGATTTTTTTAAACACTATTGTATTACTTATTCATAGCATATATTAATAAGGAATAGTTAGTTTTATATTTAATCTTAAAATAATAATTTATTTCTGTATTTAAGTTTCTTCTAAAAATATATTCAGGAATAAAATATGCAATAAAAGATAAAATATATATACAGACTGTACAGAGATACCAACCTGAGAAGAGGGCCATCAGTATCACAGGATCATATGGTTGACATGACATGGTTGGAAAATGAGGTGGATGGAGGAGCAATTCCACCATCCACCTGCTTCCAATGTGATGTCATTGCTTCAAGTTTAAGATATTCATAAACCATCTTACTTTTACTCTAAAATAAGTTTGAATGTTTTCAAATTATAATCTGAAAAAAATTATACAATTATAATGTTACTTAGTACTGTATAACTTAATTAAATTTCATAAATTTAGTTATATAATATTAAGTAATATATAAATAAAAATCCACTTTATGTAAAATTCTTAAAATTTGAATATTTATTAATATATTATTTTATAATAGATTTTAAAAATAAATTCAAATTGATTTTTCTTATTTAATAGAATAAATTCTTATAAAATTGAGAGAATACACCATTTTTCTCTATATCGTGCACATACATGATCTCTTTGCTTGGACTTTTTTGGAATGCCTGATTGTGATGTTAGAAAAGCAATACATCATTTTTAGACATGAGTATAAGCCATTTTTGGACAGGTTTTAGTGCAACTGTGATTGAGTCTCACATACAGGGACAATTTTTAAACAGATTTTTGATTAGCTGATTTCAAACTGAAAGCATTGTTGTTATGTGCTGATTAGTTTGAGATATGGCATACTAGTGATTCAATGTGGACAAAGTATTAACTAACACCTACATGCCTTGTTGTGGCTTGTTAGCATACTTATTTGAGAATGTATAGAATCATTCCATAGTTTTTAGAGAGTTATCAGTAAATCTATAATTTACACACAGTTTCTATAGAAACTGTGGAAAATCTATAGTGATTGAAAACTCTGGACTATATAAACTATATATGTGATGATGAAACCCATATGTTTTAAAATGTTTGTATATTAAAAATAATTTACCTTTTTTTATAAGATCTGCAAGATGACATTTATTTATATAGTTTTGTAATTCATAATTCATTCAGTTGTTATTCATGTATATTTCAATTTATAGTTTCAGCACTTTTGGTAAAATAATAATAAAACAAATTCATTATTATGTCTTTTTCATATATATTTATGGAAATACAAAATTTTTTATAATTTTTATTTTATACTTTACAAGGTAAACATAAGAAAGAACAGATTACAAACTTATTATTAGTAATTATGACAAATGCAGTCAAATTCAAATGGTATTCTATGATAATTAAAATTAATAATAATATTTGTGTTATGAATTTTATAATTTCTAATGCTGAGAACTCATGATTTTGTATTTACAGTTGTCTATTTTATTACTATAACTATCTTTCAAGTTAAATAATAGCATTTACTTAATATTGTAATAAATTTAACATTAAACATAAATATGTATAAAGAAAAATCAATGAAAACAACAAAAACAATATTTTAAAAAACTTTGTTTAAAGCAATTAAATAATAAAAAATTATATCTTTTTGAAAGAAAATGCAAAACTATATCTGTGATGCTTGTATAGTCTCTTTGATTAAAAAATAGCACACTTTTAAACTTTACTGAAGAATTTAAAATAACAGGATGATAAATCAAGGCTACTGGGAGTGTGATAAATTATTCTATTTAAATTTACAGATAATTTCCATAGTCAAATAAGCTCATGTGCTAGAATTGTTCTGAAGAATTATTTCCTTATCAATACTTACATTACTTTGGTCTTTGCGGACCTTTAATAGAAATAAAAAAATGGAGTTTAGAATATTTATTTCATGTCTTTATGGACATTATGATAAAATGAATAAATTTCTATAAGTAAAAATTTAATCTTTAGCCAAAAGAAATAAAGAATCTCTCTTTTGTTTGAATGTGTCTGTTCTAATGAATATTTTATATTATATATATATTTTTTTTATTATTGATTTCNTGACTCTTTGTTGTATCTTCATTTATCAAAAAGATATTTTAAGTATTCAAGCCATTAATGTCAAAGCGTGGTCATGGTTATTATATAATTATAAATTAATTGTAATTGAATGATATCATGCTTTCTTCAACTAATTTTTTAAATATTTTACAATATATTTAGTTTATTTTAAAAATTATATATTCCAACTTAGTAATTTTGGAATAATCTTGGAAGAACTTTGCTATAAATTTATTTATTTATTAGAATTCAGAATATCTTAATTTAAATTTTAATATTTAATTAAATTAAATGCTAATTTTATATAATTTTATTCAGTAATATACACCTATAATATATATTGTTTATATAAACTTTTTTAATAAATATTAATAATTATAATATTAATAACAGATTACATATTGTTATTTAAATTTTAAACTTGTTTCAATTATTTTTTTATAGAATCAAGCTTACAATTGTAGTTTGTGATTAACTCAAATTATAATTTGTATAGTAATTTACATCTAATTATAATTAAGATAATTATACTATATAGATAATAAGTTTATTTATTTATATTTGTATAGCTCTATATCTAGAATCAGGAAATATTTTGTTTTTTTATAATTCTTTAATATTAATCACATTATTGGGAACACCAACAGAGGAAACATGGACAGGAATGACACAACTTCCAGATTATAAGGTAAATAAAAAGCAAATTTATTCATATTTTGATTATTCATTTATCAGCTAGTTTTCAAAAATTTCAAATAATTTAAAATTGTAGATAAATACAATCTTAAATTATGAAGAATGCAGATAAATTTGGAATTGTCTTTATCTGCAGTCTTAAATTTTAAATAAGAAAGAATTTAGAAATTGATTTCTTGATTAATTTTTCATGATTATGATAACTGGGATTTAGTTTATCTTTAAGCATTTTTTGTTTCTTTATTAAGATGAATTGAATTTTTGAAAATGATTTTTTTAAACACTATTGTATTACTTATTCATAGCATATATTAATAAGGAATAGTTAGTTTTATATTTAATCTTAAAATAATAATTTATTTCTGTATTTAAGTTTCTTCTAAAAATATATTCAGGAATAAAATATGCAATAAAAGATAAAATATATATACAGACTGTACAGAGATACCAACCTGAGAAGAGGGCCATCAGTATCACAGGATCATATGGTTGACATGACATGGTTGGAAAATGAGGTGGATGGAGGAGCAATTCCACCATCCACCTGCTTCCAATGTGATGTCATTGCTTCAAGTTTAAGATATTCATAAACCATCTTACTTTTACTCTAAAATAAGTTTGAATGTTTTCAAATTATAATCTGAAAAAAATTATACAATTATAATGTTACTTAGTACTGTATAACTTAATTAAATTTCATAAATTTAGTTATATAATATTAAGTAATATATAAATAAAAATCCACTTTATGTAAAATTCTTAAAATTTGAATATTTATTAATATATTATTTTATAATAGATTTTAAAAATAAATTCAAATTGATTTTTCTTATTTAATAGAATAAATTCTTATAAAATTGAGAGAATACACCATTTTTCTCTATATCGTGCACATACATGATCTCTTTGCTTGGACTTTTTTGGAATGCCTGATTGTGATGTTAGAAAAGCAATACATCATTTTTAGACATGAGTATAAGCCATTTTTGGACAGGTTTTAGTGCAACTGTGATTGAGTCTCACATACAGGGACAATTTTTAAACAGATTTTTGATTAGCTGATTTCAAACTGAAAGCATTGTTGTTATGTGCTGATTAGTTTGAGATATGGCATACTAGTGATTCAATGTGGACAAAGTATTAACTAACACCTACATGCCTTGTTGTGGCTTGTTAGCATACTTATTTGAGAATGTATAGAATCATTCCATAGTTTTTAGAGAGTTATCAGTAAATCTATAATTTACACACAGTTTCTATAGAAACTGTGGAAAATCTATAGTGATTGAAAACTCTGGACTATATAAACTATATATGTGATGATGAAACCCATATGTTTTAAAATGTTTGTATATTAAAAATAATTTACCTTTTTTTATAAGATCTGCAAGATGACATTTATTTATATAGTTTTGTAATTCATAATTCATTCAGTTGTTATTCATGTATATTTCAATTTATAGTTTCAGCACTTTTGGTAAAATAATAATAAAACAAATTCATTATTATGTCTTTTTCATATATATTTATGGAAATACAAAATTTTTTATAATTTTTATTTTATACTTTACAAGGTAAACATAAGAAAGAACAGATTACAAACTTATTATTAGTAATTATGACAAATGCAGTCAAATTCAAATGGTATTCTATGATAATTAAAATTAATAATAATATTTGTGTTATGAATTTTATAATTTCTAATGCTGAGAACTCATGATTTTGTATTTACAGTTGTCTATTTTATTACTATAACTATCTTTCAAGTTAAATAATAGCATTTACTTAATATTGTAATAAATTTAACATTAAACATAAATATGTATAAAGAAAAATCAATGAAAACAACAAAAACAATATTTTAAAAAACTTTGTTTAAAGCAATTAAATAATAAAAAATTATATCTTTTTGAAAGAAAATGCAAAACTATATCTGTGATGCTTGTATAGTCTCTTTGATTAAAAAATAGCACACTTTTAAACTTTACTGAAGAATTTAAAATAACAGGATGATAAATCAAGGCTACTGGGAGTGTGATAAATTATTCTATTTAAATTTACAGATAATTTCCATAGTCAAATAAGCTCATGTGCTAGAATTGTTCTGAAGAATTATTTCCTTATCAATACTTACATTACTTTGGTCTTTGCGGACCTTTAATAGAAATAAAAAAATGGAGTTTAGAATATTTATTTCATGTCTTTATGGACATTATGATAAAATGAATAAATTTCTATAAGTAAAAATTTAATCTTTAGCCAAAAGAAATAAAGAATCTCTCTTTTGTTTGAATGTGTCTGTTCTAATGAATATTTTATATTATATATATATTTTTTTTATTATTGATTTCTTTTAATAGTTTAATTGTAGTTTTTAAGTTTAAAACAGCTATTATCAAATTATCTCATTGTTGTAACTAATTAATACAAATAGAAATTATTAAAAAATCTACCTTTAAAACTATTATTGTAAATAACAGTTTATACTAATAGTACATACTGTTATTTCCAGGAAAAAATTTTAAATAGTTGATTTATGATGTTAGCTGGCTATTATTATCTACAAATTTCTGTACAAATCTCAATTAATGACAATAAAACTATATTTGTATTATATAACACACTATAGTATGGTTTTCTTCAAAAATGGTAATAGTAAATAAAATGAAATAAAGTAAAAAAAATATTTAGCTGGTCATTTGACCAGCAAAAACTGGCTTAAGAAGAAAACTGAAGCAATTAAATTTTAAAAGTTTGTAACTGAATGGGAAAGGTTTGAAAATTAAATATAAGTAAAAATAAAGTAAATGTGAATACTACAAAATTAAACCACAGAAAGTTGTTTCAATCAAGTTTAAAACTAAATTAGTATTCAACAGCTAATTCTAACACCAATAATAAATAGTAGTAATGTGTATTCTTTAATGTTAGAACCATTATACTGTCTAATGGTAAAATTATATAGAAAAAAAGTGCAGTATGACTTGATTTGTGAGAATTTGAAACAGTGAGTTATCTTTTATCTCTGATTTATTAGATGAAGTACTTCATACAATGACTGCTAACTGCTATTTTAAGAGAACAAAATATTTTAATCACAGATATGACCAGATTGAAATTCTCACATACTCTTATTAGCTAGCTTGTGGATTCCAGTTTTTACTTTTTTTTTTGTTTCATTCATATTATGCCTTCATTCTCTAGGTGTAGTGTTATTTGTTCTAACACAATTGTACAATTTAATAAACTTTTATTTCTACATTACAAATCCTTCTATTGATGATTACAATTATATTACTTAGAAAACAATTTTATTTTACTCTATGTTACTTAATATTCTGCTTGCTTACTGTCTCAATTGATTTTTGTTTTATCATTAAATAAAGAAATTGCTAACTTACATGTTTACTTGTCTCATTTTATATTAGTTACTTTTTATATCAGTAAATAATTTAATTGACACTTACAACCAAAATCAATCTTGCCCTGTTTATAAGATTTTGATTTATAAGTGGCTTTGATTTATGTTACACTGTAATTGGCATTAATATCAAGAACTTATTTTTTGTCCCAATCTTTTAATTTTAACTACCATAATTGCAAAAATTTCTCTTTGCTTGGACTTTTTTGGAATGCCTGATTGTGATGTTAGAAAAGCAATACATCATTTTTAGACATGAGTATAAGCCATTTTTGGACAGGTTTTAGTGCAACTGTGATTGAGTCTCACATACAGGGACAATTTTTAAACAGATTTTTGATTAGCTGATTTCAAACTGAAAGCATTGTTGTTATGTGCTGATTAGTTTGAGATATGGCATACTAGTGATTCAATGTGGACAAAGTATTAACTAACACCTACATGCCTTGTTGTGGCTTGTTAGCATACTTATTTGAGAATGTATAGAATCATTCCATAGTTTTTAGAGAGTTATCAGTAAATCTATAATTTACACACAGTTTCTATAGAAACTGTGGAAAATCTATAGTGATTGAAAACTCTGGACTATATAAACTATATATGTGATGATGAAACCCATATGTTTTAAAATGTTTGTATATTAAAAATAATTTACCTTTTTTTATAAGATCTGCAAGATGACATTTATTTATATAGTTTTGTAATTCATAATTCATTCAGTTGTTATTCATGTATATTTCAATTTATAGTTTCAGCACTTTTGGTAAAATAATAATAAAACAAATTCATTATTATGTCTTTTTCATATATATTTATGGAAATACAAAATTTTTTATAATTTTTATTTTATACTTTACAAGGTAAACATAAGAAAGAACAGATTACAAACTTATTATTAGTAATTATGACAAATGCAGTCAAATTCAAATGGTATTCTATGATAATTAAAATTAATAATAATATTTGTGTTATGAATTTTATAATTTCTAATGCTGAGAACTCATGATTTTGTATTTACAGTTGTCTATTTTATTACTATAACTATCTTTCAAGTTAAATAATAGCATTTACTTAATATTGTAATAAATTTAACATTAAACATAAATATGTATAAAGAAAAATCAATGAAAACAACAAAAACAATATTTTAAAAAACTTTGTTTAAAGCAATTAAATAATAAAAAATTATATCTTTTTGAAAGAAAATGCAAAACTATATCTGTGATGCTTGTATAGTCTCTTTGATTAAAAAATAGCACACTTTTAAACTTTACTGAAGAATTTAAAATAACAGGATGATAAATCAAGGCTACTGGGAGTGTGATAAATTATTCTATTTAAATTTACAGATAATTTCCATAGTCAAATAAGCTCATGTGCTAGAATTGTTCTGAAGAATTATTTCCTTATCAATACTTACATTACTTTGGTCTTTGCGGACCTTTAATAGAAATAAAAAAATGGAGTTTAGAATATTTATTTCATGTCTTTATGGACATTATGATAAAATGAATAAATTTCTATAAGTAAAAATTTAATCTTTAGCCAAAAGAAATAAAGAATCTCTCTTTTGTTTGAATGTGTCTGTTCTAATGAATATTTTATATTATATATATATTTTTTTTATTATTGATTTCTTTTAATAGTTTAATTGTAGTTTTTAAGTTTAAAACAGCTATTATCAAATTATCTCATTGTTGTAACTAATTAATACAAATAGAAATTATTAAAAAATCTACCTTTAAAACTATTATTGTAAATAACAGTTTATACTAATAGTACATACTGTTATTTCCAGGAAAAAATTTTAAATAGTTGATTTATGATGTTAGCTGGCTATTATTATCTACAAATTTCTGTACAAATCTCAATTAATGACAATAAAACTATATTTGTATTATATAACACACTATAGTATGGTTTTCTTCAAAAATGGTAATAGTAAATAAAATGAAATAAAGTAAAAAAAATATTTAGCTGGTCATTTGACCAGCAAAAACTGGCTTAAGAAGAAAACTGAAGCAATTAAATTTTAAAAGTTTGTAACTGAATGGGAAAGGTTTGAAAATTAAATATAAGTAAAAATAAAGTAAATGTGAATACTACAAAATTAAACCACAGAAAGTTGTTTCAATCAAGTTTAAAACTAAATTAGTATTCAACAGCTAATTCTAACACCAATAATAAATAGTAGTAATGTGTATTCTTTAATGTTAGAACCATTATACTGTCTAATGGTAAAATTATATAGAAAAAAAGTGCAGTATGACTTGATTTGTGAGAATTTGAAACAGTGAGTTATCTTTTATCTCTGATTTATTAGATGAAGTACTTCATACAATGACTGCTAACTGCTATTTTAAGAGAACAAAATATTTTAATCACAGATATGACCAGATTGAAATTCTCACATACTCTTATTAGCTAGCTTGTGGATTCCAGTTTTTACTTTTTTTTTTGTTTCATTCATATTATGCCTTCATTCTCTAGGTGTAGTGTTATTTGTTCTAACACAATTGTACAATTTAATAAACTTTTATTTCTACATTACAAATCCTTCTATTGATGATTACAATTATATTACTTAGAAAACAATTTTATTTTACTCTATGTTACTTAATATTCTGCTTGCTTACTGTCTCAATTGATTTTTGTTTTATCATTAAATAAAGAAATTGCTAACTTACATGTTTACTTGTCTCATTTTATATTAGTTACTTTTTATATCAGTAAATAATTTAATTGACACTTACAACCAAAATCAATCTTGCCCTGTTTATAAGATTTTGATTTATAAGTGGCTTTGATTTATGTTACACTGTAATTGGCATTAATATCAAGAACTTATTTTTTGTCCCAATCTTTTAATTTTAACTACCATAATTGCAAAAATTCTGTATGTGTGTGTGTGTATATATATACACATATGTACTGTAGATCTTTCACTTAGCTGGTGTATATGCACTGCATATACACAAATAAATATGTTTGAATTTAATTAAAATATTTTAGTTAATGTTAACAAAGTCAGTTAGTCTAACAATATGCTCTGCATTCCTTTAAAAAATTTTCCAGACACTTTCATTATAATAGGTATTTTGTGATTATCTGTGAGGTTAGACAAGATCAGTAATTGCATGAAGATTGGCTACAAAACAAAAATCAGTTTGTTTATCTTTACTTTGATTTCTTAATGATCTTGTTTTATGTATTGTAGTTAACTTAAAAACTTGCCAAACAATATCATAATACGAGGCGTGTTTTTAAAGTAAGTACCGTTTTGAAATATAAAAAAAACAAGCAAACATTTTTAACAAAATTTTTATTTATGTGAAAGCCCATATTTTACACTACTTTTCTACATAATTCCCATTAATATTGAGACACTTATCGTATCGTGGGACCAGCTTTTGTATTCCGTCCTCAAAGAATGTTGCCGCCTGATGAGACAACCACTGCAGAACGGTCGTTTTGACTTCGTCGTGATTGTTATGGCGCTGCCCTGCCAGATGCTTCTTCAAATGCAGAAACAAATGATAGTCACTCGGCGCTAGGTCGGGACTGTATGGAGGGTGGTCTAATTGTTCCCAGCCAAATGATGTGATTAGGTCTTGAGTTTGATTTGCCGTATGTGGACGAGCATTATCGTGGAGCAAAACGACACCCTTGCTCAGTAAGCCCCGCCTTTTGTTTTGTATTGCACGGCGCAGTTTTTTTAAAGTCTCGCAGTATGCAGCTGAATTGATTGTTTCACGATGAGGCAAAAAATCAACAAGCAACACTCCGTATCTGTCCCAAAACACCGTGCACATGATTTTCTGAGCAGAAATTGTTTGCTTGAACTTGACTTTCCTTGGAGATGATGAATGTCGCCATTCCATGGATTGTTGCTTTGATTCCGGTGTAACGTAGGCTACCCACGTTTCATCGCCTGTAACAATACGACTTAAAAAATCATCTCCTTCGTCACTGTAGCGCTCAAGAAAAGTCAATGCACTGGCCAAACGTTTGGTTTTGTGCTCCTCCGTCAACATTTTCGGCACCCAACGGGAACACAACTTCCGATAATTTAATCGTCCGGTCACAATTTCATAGAGAACACTTCTTGAAACTGCAGGAAACTCTTTAGATAAAGATGAAATCGTGAATCGTCTGTTCTCTTTCACTCTACAGTCCACTTTTTCAATCAAATCGTCGATAATGACTGAAGGTTGCCCACTTCGTTCCTCATCGTGAATGTTTGTGCGGCCATTACTAAAGGCCCTAACCCATTTTTGTACCATTCCTTCACTCATAACGCTTTCACCATAAACTTCACAGATTTGGCGATGAATTTCAGCCACTTTTGAGCCTTTAGCACTGAGAAAATGAATAACGGCACACACTTCTCAGTCGGCGGGATTCTCAATGAGCGGCGGCATTTCAATAACACACAAACAACAGTAAACACAGTCGACTGGCTCCGTAATGGCGTTTGTAGCTTCCCAACAGATGTAGGTACACAGCGCGCATGCGCTAAGTGCTGACTGCAGCGCTCCAGCAGTGTTATATTAAAACGGTACTTACTTTAAAAACACGCCTCGTACATCAGGCTATTTTCTGTCTACATTATTAATTAATTTTAAGTAATTTGTTACTAGAGATAGACTTTAGGTGCCATTTCTTATTAAATTTAATAGCCCAATGCATTATGGTATTGTTTGGCATTAACTAATAACATTGGGTATTGAGATGTTTATATATGTACAACTTAAAAACATTTTATATTATTAAGGAACAGCTATTAATGAAACTGTCATATTCTCACAAAGACTTGTTTTATGTAAAATATCTTTTCAAGTAGAATTCTTTAGTGCTTTGTAAAGAGGTTATTACTTTTATTATTGCTATTACTTGTTATGAAGATTCTATAAAGATTTTGTTCAGACGTTTGGATTTTTTTCACAGCAAGTTTTAAATTAGTGATGTAACGAATATTCGGTTACTGTTCGGTATTCAGCGTATTTGGCCTATTTTTCACTATTCAGCCGAATACCTAAAAACAGGAGTAATAAATAACAAAAACACAGTAAATTAGTCATTTTGGTATTTAGATTTAATGTTGTTGGGTATTTATGGGTATTTATTTATAACTTGTAACATGCACAAAATAAAAAAGAAAATAATATTAGTCACATGTGTGAGAATATCTCTTCCACTATGGTTGTTAGTACCACTTAATCGGCGCTAGTTGGTAAAACTAGTTCTCGGAGTTTTGGATCGAGAGATCCGATCTTAAATCTTTTTCTAGGAGGGCTGTTAATATTTAAAACGATCTGGACTGTGAAGTCTAGATTTATGTCAGGGACCTGACACCAGTTAATCAGTTATTTTACACGCGGATTAACACGCGTTATCCCTAAACTCGGGAATTGGAAGAAGCATGGGAACTTAAATGTAGATGAATATCTAACAAGAACCAAGTCATTTATAAACAAAGTAAATATTTAATAAATCAAATAATAAAGATATACAACAATGAATCTAACCTATATTTCTAAATCTAACTTAAACTATCTTATTTCTAACCTAACATGTGAGAGAGTTTACATCAATCTATTCAGAGCTTGTATTACCTCTGTATCTACCATATCTGTATGAAGATCTACTTCCTTCCTTTACTATTATTTCTTCTTTATATTTTCTTTGGGAGGTTCTTCAAATATCTTTCCTTTCAACCATCTTATCGTATGCTATACATCAGTTTAACCTTTTCGTATGTCGTATATTGGATTCATATGTATGGCTTCTTACGTATTCTCCTTAGTATGGCAATTGTCTCTTTTTGACTGATTTGCTGCAAAGGTACTGTATTTACATATGGCAAGATCTTCCTCTAACAGACTGCTGCCCCAAATGGCGCAAAAACGGCCCGTTTTATTCTGTCCTCTGTACTGTGTGCAAAATTATCAACTCATCACCAGTTCGCCTGGGAAAGGAAATCAACTTCCTTTCAAATTCTGCTGTTTCCTCCGTTTTGTGTAGATAAAATCTTGGTGAGGTTCGAAATATTATTTTCTCTAAAATTTTTAGTTTCTTTTTGAACCTATTATGTTGTTTACAAACCTTCTTCACCCTTTTGACCCTCACACATGTATTCACAATTTATAATTACAAAGATCAGCACATGTACACGCCTATCATTGGAGAATCCTCGCACATCTGAGGGTCTGACTCTATTCTATTCTATTCTTCTCCCCCGTGTTCATATGGAGATAACAGCCTTAGTGTGCTTTTTCTCTGAAGAGCGGCGCTACCTACTTAGGTGAAGCGACCCGTCCGTGAAAAATACTTTTCTAGTATTCATATATGATTCTCTGGATGCATGTTGGCTTGTGGCCAATAAATTGGTGATAACATTAAGTTCAGCTTTAAACGTTTCTCCAGTTCCTTACGTGCCTCTTCATAATTTGGGCACCTTAACTAAAAGTACTCAGGTGTTTCTGCTTCCTGACAAAAAGAGCAATTGGGGGATGGGACTAGACCTCACGAAAAAAGAAACATGTTAAGAGGAGCCATAGCCGTTCAAAGCCTTGCAAGCAAATTCTCCGCCCACCTAGAAGATGCATGTTGATACGGCCAGGGGTCAATTGGCCTGAGATGTTCATCTGAGGGTCTGACCCTGCCTATCCTTCTTTTTAAGCGCTCGTCTTTGCTCTTCCCTTTCTCTTTCCACTATCACTCTAATCCATGTATGCTTATGCATACATCATAATACGCGCTCACGATGCTTTCGATTCGTCACTTTTCCGTCGTAGAGTTCTCATTTTACAATTACATGACTCTGCCTGGTGATAACGGAGAAAAGAGACAGATAGGACATCGGTATAAGTCACAGCTATAATTTCACAGATTCAAGCCAGCTTGGTAGCCCGAATGGCCCCAGGCTTTCGCCTGTGCATGCTAAGTGACTTTCATTACAAGCATTTAGCTTTCTGAAGTCTATGACGACAATCGTTTGGCATTGATGGCCGTGAATTTCGTGCCAATAAGCTGTCTTGACTTGTTCGATTATGTTATCAACTCAATTTCATATTTATTTTCACATTTTCACTTTGCGGTCCTTCTCTGTTCTTTTTCTGTTATTTACACATGTAGGTCATTTCATTGTTATCCACATTTGATATCGTCGTTTATCACATACTTCCATGACACTCTTGTCTGTCTGCTACAACTACCAAGAATTAACGCGATTGGCGAAGTGTAGTGACAGCGGGCCAATAGAGAGCAGGATCCTTGCCATAATGCAGTTTGCGCGCCAATTTTCGTACATGCATTAATCAAGCCGAGTAGTTTGGCCAAATATTTGGATATTTGGCCACGCTCCTGGCCGAATATACTATTCATTGCAACACTATTTTAAATTATAATTTCTCATTTATATTATCATCTCAATGTAGAACTGACAAATACACAATGAATATTATTAGTTTTTCCTTTTTATGCATTCTTTCACAGTGTTTTGTTTATAGTTACAAATCTGTAAATTCTTTATATGTATATATCTTGTATTATTAAGAGCAGTGATCTAATTGAGATGTTCTACATTATCATCAAAACCTGATAATATAAGAAAGTTGTTAATAGTTCTATATAAAGCCACACATAACAACTTAGGATTTACAGTAGACCCCCTATAAAACGGGTTCCTATAATTACGATTCCTATAAGACAGCGAAAAAGTTGCGACGGTATCCGTAAAAAACGGTAAAAAACTCCTATAATTACGTAAAACATCATCAGGCAGCCGAACTACTTTCCGTGCCGTCAAGCGCCACGCTACGGAGAGATTACTATCGTCTGTACAGTATTATATATAAATTATATATAAATTAGGTACTGTACATATAATTATATATTAATTATATATAAATTAGGTATTGTATATATAATTATATATTAACTTAATTTATTGTAACTTTATTATAATTATATATATA